CCTCCTCACACCTTGGAATCGGGCCCAGCCCTAGTACCCCCCTATCCTGTTCCACACTGATCTTCACACGGCACTGACTGCTTCTCACACCGACTGCCCCGGACCCAGCTTTGTAAAGACACAACACTGTAGTAATTAAGCACTGCAGCGCAATACATCACCCTAAACCTCTGCAGATTAAAACAGCAAGCATTTGGTATGGCACGCTGTTTCTGAGGCTCGAGCATCGGGAGCAGCCTAATGGGTAGTTCTGGCTCAGGGTCTCTTCTGAGACTGCGCTCAGCCTGTCAGTCAGGGAAGCCGGCACCGGGAGGCTTACCTGGAAGATCCTCTCCCAGGATGGCTGTTGGCAGGAAGCCATCAGGCTATGGGAGCATTCTCAGGACATGGCAGTGAACTTCCAGTAAGTAAGCAAAGCAATCCAAGAGAGAGCAAGAAGGACACCTCCATGTCCTCTGTGAGCATATTTCTGAAGTCACCTGTTGTCACTGCTGCCCTTCTCTTCACCTGGGGTTTGTCACAGGTATAAAAGCACTGCCATGGAGTCAGTGCTGACTCAGAGCAACCTTCTGTGGGTTTCTGAGACTGTCACTGTTGATGGGAGCAGAAAGGCCAGCCTTTCCAACTGCCAGCCACGCTGATTAAGCAGCGACCGCTAGGCCAGCAGGGCTCCTGTGTACAGCCTACACTTGAGATGGACAAGAGAAGAGAGCCCTGGTGGTACCGTGGTTACAAGCTGGGCTGCTCACCTCAAGGTCAGCAATTCGAAACCACCATCTGCTCCACGGAAGGAAGACGGGGGCTTCCTACTCCCGTGAAGAGTTACACTCTGGAAACCCACATGGGCAGTTCTTCCCTGTCCTGCAGGGTCACTCTGAGTCGAAATCGACTAGATGGCAGTGAGTGTGTTTGTTTCTAAAGAGAGAACATCAAATACGTGGGCATGTTCCAGGAAAACGCCCACGGATGCCATTGAAGGGAACACGCTAGCCAGGACTGGACCTGAACCACCTTGACTAGCAGTTCACAACAGGTGTCAAGTGTCCTGCACTACATTCTTCTCGGATGACTGCACCTCCCACTGCTGGGCGCTATGCTCTCCACAGCAGAGACAGCAGCCCGGGGGAGCTGTAGCACAGAGCTTTCCCACCACACTGAAAGGGGGTTAGGAAGGATGCTCTCTGCCTTCTCAGATAGCTTTGCAGGCCCCAAGCCCATTCCAGGAAAGCTGACTGACTCACCATAAATACTTAACGTCAGGGAAACCATCCCATCACACACTGAGGGAAAAGCACGCAAGAAATCGCTTGCCTCGCAACGGCCCTTCCGCAGCCCCTGGACCTCTCTCTCACAGTGACAGCTGCTAGAGTAAGTGCTGCAAACGCAACCCCAAACCACCACCATCAAGTGGGCTCCGGCCCAGAGCAACCCTATAGGACAGAGTAGAACTGCTCCCAAGAGCTTCCGAAACTGTAAGTCTTTGTGAGCGCAGACAGCCTCATCTTTCTCCCGAGCAGCAGCTGGAGCATTTGAACCATCAACCTTCCAGTTAGCAGTCCAATGGATGCCTATCCCACAGTGCCACCAGGGATCCTTAGCAAAGTGCTAACTCAATGCCCTCAAGTTGATGCTGACTCACAGTAACCCTACAGGGCAGGGGAGAACTGCTGAGGAAGGGGTCCAAGACTAACTCTACAGGATACAAAGCCTCATCTTTCTCGAGAGGAGCAGCTGGCAGATTCAAATTGCTGATCTTGTCGTTAGCGGCCTAATGCACAGCCCACTAGGCCTCAGTGCTCTTTAGTAACATGATGTGAAAAGGCTATAATCAAACTTTTTTTGCCTGAAATCATGGCTTTTCTTCAAAAGAAGTAAAGTGTTCTCAAGATGTGTTACATTGTTACAAGACGTAGTGAGCTAGTAGTTTATAGTCTTTCTCTTCCTAGAGAAATCAATCAGCATCTTTACTAACTTCTAAATACACAAAGACAGAGAAACATCGTAGAGTTCCCAGTCTTTATTCAGCTTCCCTTTATCAATGGCTTCTTAAAATAACCACAGTACAATGATCAAAGCCAGATTATTAGGATATAATACTAACTAATCACTGCCCTTGATTTAAGTTTGCCAACCTAAGGACTTGTCAATATGTGCTGAAATTCTTAAAAACAGGTATTAAAGTTGTGTTTGTTTTGACTTTTAAGGCTTAGCAATTAAGATCAAAAATAAAAGAAGAAGCAAAAGAGTAAGTAAGGAGCGGCGCTGAAAGTCATTCTCTCAAGAACATTAATTGTACTTGTCGTACAGGGTCAGTGAGTCAGAGAATCAACTCAATGACAGTTTTCAGTGGACCACTCCTGAAAGCAAACCTTAGAGCAGGGGCCAAACCACACTGATCATTTCCAAAAAGAGGGTCCAGATAAAGGTATGAATACGTATGAATACGATATTTCACTAAACTCTCCAAAGCCGCCTGATTCAGTGAAGCAACCCGCAGCCAGTCAACCAGTGAAACCATTCAAGAAAGTTCTGATACACTGAAAAAGTTCAGCATAAGCAAATTCTACTTTAAACACTGAATTTGAAATCTTGCTTAAAGCATAAAGGTTTTAGAAATAATGTTTCTAAGTTCACTTACTACTATACATACCCCTCAAATACTACAAGACACAATGTAACATCAAGCCAATAGTTTACCAGCTGAAGACCAGTGGTGGCCACCCTTTTAGGTTCCTTTTGATTTTTTTTTTTTAATCATTTTACTGGGGGCTCATACAACTCTTAGCACAATCCATACATTGAATTCAATTCTTAAAGCTTAGGGAAAATATTCACACAAGGGAGGTTTAAAGCATCTGTGAGAAAATTCCACTATCTTTTAATTCCAATTGTCCATGAGCTTTTGAAACCCTCTCGTATGAAATGAGTCTGACAGATACGTATAGCTTATAAATGATATGAACATTGCAGATATTCTAATATTTCCTGATTTGTGAATTAGCTGAGTACTAAACGGAAGCATCCTCTACAGCACCACGTAGTGCCTTACTCGTCATTTAACTAGCTCCCTGAGCACCATCAACTGACAGCATGCTACTTTCATTGAGCTATGAATGTGACAAAAGGAGGCACCATAACCTCCTCCACCAGGTACTTTTGAGCTGGCTGTTGGCCAGCCCGAGGCTCACCTGACAGGTCCAGCTCCTGCACGGAAGACAAGTTGGCCAGACTCCAGCTCTCACTGCGGGCTGCCAGGACAAACTTGTGAGCATTGATGTGTCTGCCCCCAACCTTTATCTTCAGATCACTGTTGGAGAAAAATACCCACAGATATCAAAAGAGAAATGTCCTATCTACAAGTAGTTATGACAAGTATGTGGGTAATCGCGTCATCAGCACGCCTCTACATAAGGGGAAAAATGCGCAGAATTATGTTTTTATATGCTAGCCCTGAATTCCGAGGGTCATGTTCTGTCATGCATTGCAGAATTATGATTTTATATGCTAGCCCTGACTTCCGAGGGGTCATGTCCTGTAATGCATTGCTACCTAGATAGTTTTCTATGTCTATGAGAAGGTACCCCCCCCAAATGGGAATGTTTTTCTTTTTCCCAAAGCTATGTATAATTTTTTTTTATAAAACAACCTTGACACCATCAATGTACTCTCTATTACACTTAATACATTTGTCAAATCTGCGATTCCATTCTTGGAAACATTTTTCAAAATCATCTGTTTGGATGGCTGACAGCACCTCTGTTTTTTTTTTTTCTTCACTTCTCCTATGTTGTCAAATCACTGTCCTGTTTTTTTTTTTCTTACTGTCCTTTGGAAATCACAAGAAGTCGCATGGAGTGAGGGCAGGTGAGTAGGGTGCACGGGGCAAGAGAAGGCATGCTGCTGTTTTTGCCTGAACTGGAGCACTGAGATGGCTGCATGAGCAGATACATTGTCATGGTGTCAAAACTAGTCCTGTCTGCTACAAATCAGGCCTTTATTTGTCACACGGTTACGCAATCTTTTCAGAACCGCTAGACAGCTTGATTAACAATTGGACCTGGTGGAATGAACTCCAAAGGCACTATGAGTCAACATTTTCATCCTTTCAGGAAGTTGACGGACGTCCAGAACGAGGTTTGTCATCAATTGACATTTCACCATTTTGGAAACAAGAAAACCACTTGTACACTGAGTTTTTCCCATAGCGCTATCCTTGCAAGCCATGTGAAACATCACAACAGTTTCTGTAGCACTTCTCCCGAGTAGGAAACAAAATTTCACAGCTGCACACTGTTGTCTTAAACCAGACATCACAAAAAACGAGGTTCAAGAAAAGCTTTTACAAAAAAAATTCACTGTAGAGAGAACCTACCTTCCCAGGCGATGCCACTGGGTGCACTAACTCAGAGCAAGTTGCTTCCTGCTCCCTGAGCAGGAAAAGTGTGTACTACAAAATCTCCACAGGCGGAGCTTTTTCAATTTTGGGTTTGGTTTTGGGGGTACCCCCTCTTAACTTCTATCTTTAGTTCAGATGGGATGTGCTAAACTCAAAAGGCATCCCCTACTGGGATGCTTGTGGTTAGGAACCTACAAGTTAAACAGAATGGTTAATATGCATGCACAAACCAGAAAAGGTTTTAATGCAGAATAAGTCAAGAGAAATCACAAGGGAAAGAAAGATGGACAGCTTAAAGGCTGTTAATAACAGCTCTGGAAAAAAAACAAACCGTTCTGGGACTATGGTGCTGCTCTCCTCCCTGTAAATGCTGACGTCAGCTGAGCCAGAAACACTCCAACACGTTAGCTCGGACACAGCCTTCAAGACGATGAACCCCAAACCTGGATTCCACATTCTCACCAGAAACATTTAGAGCTAATGTTGATCATGTTTCACTCGACATTAATAAGGCAATGGAGTGGGAAGAGGGTTTTGTTTTCAAAATATGTTTCCCTTTTTGACGTACTAAGCTAGGAGAAGCGCTTTCTGGAGAGATTAATGTTTAACCCTAAGATACCACCTGCTAGGGGAGGAAAGCACGTGGGCAGGTGACCCAAAGGGCTGAGAAGAGCATGGGCCATATAGCTGCCTTGGCAGCACACCAAAACAAGGCGGAGAAAAACAGGAATCCTGCTGATATATGACTTTCCACTTTTTATATTCCCGTCACAAGTACTTATGAGTCTGGAACACCTTAGAAACTAAATGCACCAGGGACCGGACCCAATCCCAACTATGTGGACAGCCACCACTGCCCCCAGAATAACTCACTTCAAAGGACAGCACTGAAGCTACAGCGTAGGGAGAGAGACATGTCTGATCAGAGCACATGGGAGCAAATGAAAGGGGAGGAAGAGAGAGTGGAGCACAACCTGACCCACCAGGCATTGAGGACAATATCCCTGCTTAGAGCAGCCAATACACAGAGAGGACCATATGGCTGGCCCCACTACGAGAAGCGACATCCCTCACTGACCCATAGCCCTACGGGGGACAACACTGGAGACACAGTGTGAGAATTCCGCCTGATCTGACCCCACCACACCGAGGCAAAACACTAAGGGTGTGCAACAGAACAACAAAGGGAGCAGAGCAAGGAAGTCCCCAGGGAATATCAAAAATAGACTTTGGGGCCAGTACTTGGCACCCCATCAGACTCAACCAGAAAACACTCCTAAAGGTCAACAAACAGACCTTGAACTATTTACAGGCTTTTCTTTTGTCATTGTTTTTTTGTTGTGTTGTTTTCTTTTTTTGCTCTGTTATGGTCTGTCTTAATTTTGTGCATATTATTATCTCTGCAAGTCTATCTAGATAAGCAGGATAAACAATCTGGAGGAGAAAACAAGGGGACCAACGGTGGGGGGTGGGGGGAATTTGGGAGAGGGGGGATATGGGAGAGGTGGGGGAAAGGAAATGGGTGTTAACAAACCCAGGGACAAAAGAACAACAAGTGATCCAAAATGGGTGGCGAGGAGGGTGTAGTAGGCCTGATAGGGCTTGATCAAGGGTAATGTAACCGAAAGGAATTACTGAAACCCAAATGAAGGCTGAACATGATAGTGAGACAAGAGAAAAGTAAAAGTAAATAGAAGAAAGAACTAGGAGGCAAAGGGCATTTATAGAGGTCTAAATACAGACATGTACATATGTAAATATATTTATATGTGACAATGGGGAAATAGATCCATGTAGATATAATTATAGGTTGAGTACTAAGGTAGCAGATGGACATTGTGCCTCTACTCAAGTACTCTCTCAATGAAAGAACACTTTGTTCTATTAAATTGGCATTCCATGATGCTCACCTTCCAGACATGATCGCTGAAGACAAAGCTAGTAGTGCCCTGCTATCAAAAGATAGTATGCCTGGAATCTTAAAGGCTTGAAGATAAACAAGTGGCCATCTAGCTGAGAAGCAACAAAGTCCACATGGAAGAAGCACATTAGCCTGTGTGATCATG